AGCAAAACCCCATAGTTACTATACAATAAAACATGGTTTATTTAATGCTTGCCAAAGTTTTTGCTTTTGAAAAGCGCTTACTCCTACAGATGAAACTAGAGATTAAAGTTCTAATAAATGCTCTTCCTCTAAGATGACTGTCATAGTTCTCCCCGAGGCTTTCGCGTTCAAGCATTAGCACTGTCTTTGCCATTCCACACCTTCCGAAAAAGTAAACTCTGAAAACCACAACCATGTCAAGAAGCAAATACGCTTCTGGAATGAGTTTCTGCAATTAACAGAATGAAACTTGGAAGCAGTGGCCTCGTTTATTCCATTTGCAAAACTGGGTTTTTACTTGCAGAAATTGGACTTTACCATTCACAGTAGTCCTTTGCACCTAAGACACCCCTTTTTCTCACTCACACAGAGTGCCTATCGCCAGTGTTCCCTCTAAGCTGAGTTAGTGCAAGCTAGCTCACAGTTTTTTAGCCTTTGGCTACCATATTTTTGTCTTAGCTCGGGAAGAATGGCTCTGGAATCATCTTTCCTGAGCAAAGACCAAAATGTGTAACCCGGAGGCGAAAAAAACGGTGAGCTTTTTGTTGTTCAGTCGCACAGTCGAGTCCGACTCTTCGCGACCCCATGGACCAGCTCCCACCAGGCCTTCCGGTCTTCCGCTGTCCTCTGAAGTTTGCTCAATTCCATGTTTGTTGCATCTATGACACTGTCTAACCATCTCATCCTTTGCCGTCCCCGTCTTCTTTGACCTTCAATCTTTCCCAGCATCAGGGTCTTCTCCAGTGAGTGCTCCCTTCTCATTGGGTGGCCCAAGTATTTGAGCTTCAGTTTCATTATCTGGCCTTCCAGGGAACAGTCAGGGTTGATTTCTTTGAGGATTGACTGATTTGTTCTTCTTGCAGTCCAAGGGACTCTCAAGAGTCTCCTCCAGCACCATAGTTCAAAAGAATCTATTCTTCGGCGCTCGGCCTTCCTTATAGTCCAACTCTCACAGCCATACATGACTACTGGGAATACCATTGCTTTGACCATGCGGACTTTTGTTGGCAGGGTGATGTCTCTACTTTTTATCATGCTGTTTAGGTTCGCCATCGCTTTCCTCCCAAGGAGCAGGCGTCTTTTAATTTCATGACTACTGTCACAGTCTGCAGTGATCTGGGATCCCAGGAACGTGAAGTCTGTCACTACTTCCACGACTTCCCCTTCTATTTGCCAAGGAGTGATGGGGCCGGATGCCATGATCTTAGTTTTTTTGATGTTGAGCTTCAAGCCCACTTTTGCGCTCTCCTCTTTTACCCTGAGCAAGAGGCTCTTTAGGTCCTCTTCACTTTCTGCCATTAGAGTGGAATGTCCAGTGTTATGTTATTATATGTATTGCAACTAATTTGAGTAATATGAGTACAACAAAATTTTTCAGAAGGAAGCGGCTGGTTAAGGCTTTTTATTAATTGAATCTGACCTATTGAAATCAGTCTATTATGTGGCTCTGAAATTTTATTGCACATAAATGTGCAGATGACTCTCAGCTGATCTAAGCTTGTAACAAATGAGGCTGAAGTTGAATTTTTGCCTCATCCTCTTTCACATTCGAAAGCTTGTAAGAATGATCACAGCTTTTGGGACATTTGGACTTTGTCCTGCCGTGGTTCGATCATGTTTCCCTGTGTCACTGTGAGAAACTTAAGATTTGGAAACTGTATAAATGGTTTATTTTTTATCATTGAATTATTTGTTAATTATTATTACTTATTGATTTTTTGAAATTGGTATTAACACCATGCACAGTTAATTTCTTTGTGTTCACCTGTATACCGTGTTTCACTATTTTATTAAATTTTGTGCCTCGGCATGTTTCAGAAGGAAGCGGCTGGTTAAGACTTTTTATTAATTGAATCTGACCTATTGAAATCAGTCTATTATGTGGCTCTGAAATTTTATTGCACATAAATGTGCAGATGACTCTCAGCTGATCTAAGCTTGTAACAAATGAAGTTGAAGTTGGATTTTTGCCTCATCCTCTTTCACACTCCAAAGCTTGTAAGAATGATCACAGCTGAATACATGCTTTTGGGACATTTGGACTTTGTCCTGTCATGGTTTGATCATGTTTCCCTGTGTCACTGTGAGAATGCAACTTCACTCGCATTCATCATGGAGAGGTATCTTGACAGGATTTAGATCTGATTGTCAGGATGTGACTCTAGAATCCAGGAGGACCAGATTCACAGAAAACATGAAATGCACAGTTCCACTGAAACTGGGCAGGTCAATAAGCTATGATTTCTCTAAGAAGTTATATAAGAACATAAGAGAAGCCAATGTTGGATCAGGCCAATGGCCCATCCAGTCCAACACTCTGTCACACAGTGGCCAAAAATACCAGGTGCCATCAGGAGGTCCAGCAGTGGGGCCAGGACACTAGAAGCCCTCCCACTGTTGCCCCCCACAAGCACCAAGAATACAGTGCATCACTTGCCCCAGACTGAGAGTTCCTATCTATACCTTGTGGCTAATAGCCAGTGATGGACCTCTGCTCCATAGGCTTATACAATTTCCTCTTGAAGCTGTCCATCCTTGGAGCCACTACCCCCTCCTGTGGCAGTGAATTCCATGTATTAATCGCTCTTTGGGTGAAGAAGTACTTCCTGGCAAGCTGTTTGGGAACCGAAGTATTTTCACGGTGTGGCCCCCTCCTTGTGAAAGGGCCTGCCCGAGTAGGTCAGGAATGTTCTGACCGGACTCTACATTTCACAATACATGGGCACGTTTTTATAGCTGGTATGACAATTTTATGTAGGCAAGAGTGTATCGACAGACAATTTGTTTTATAATCTGAAGCTATGTATTCCTTAAAGATTTGTTAGATGGTTGAAGCTCACAGTACACAAGAATAGAAAACTATGCTATTTAGGCATAAGCATAAGATTGGTAAAAAAAAAATTATGTACCCCCCATTTATGTGTGTATGTTTGTATGTGATTTTGTGTTAAAAATCTTAATAAAATTTGGGACAGGTTTTTTTTTTAAAAAAGGAAGCTGTTGAGAACAAGATCTGCAATGCAATCCTAAACAGAATTTCCTATTGTCCTCAGTAGACTTCAACGGGTATTATTTAGAGATGCTGTGAGCTTTGCCTCACATAATATTGCCAGATGAACTTACCATATTTGATGGGGGTGATTATAGGGAGCTGATCATAGAGTTAGTTCTTTGGCACAGCAAGGACCACAAACTCCTTATGAACTAGCTGTTGTAGATTTTCTGGGCTGTATGGCTGTGGTCTTGGCATTGTAGGACCTGACGTTTCGCCAGTAGCTGTGACTGGCATCCTCAGAGGTGTAACACAGAAAGGTGGAGTACTCTCTGGGTCAAGGTGAGAAGAAAAATGGTAGGGAGGTAATTTATATCTACTCAGGAAGGTGGAGTAGGGCTGAGTTATAATCTTGTAGGAGTTCCCCAGGCTGTGAACATGCTAATGGAGGAGCTTTCCTGAGGAGGTTCTTTTGTACATGGATTGTTTCCTGAGGAGGTTTTTTTGTATGTGAATTGGCTGTTGAAATTCTAATCTTATCCGTAGTGCTATTGTCAGATGTAGAGCCTTTCAGGACAGGAAACCTTGCCCTATTTATTTTTAAACTCTCTTCTTTCCTGTTGAAATTGTGTTATAAACTGTATAAACTGCCTGGCAGCTGTGTGGTAGCTTTTTAGAAGAAGAAGAAGAAGAAGAAGAAGAAGAAGAAGAAGAAGAAGAAGAAGAGGAGGAGGAGGAGGAGGAGGAGATTGGATTTATACCCCGCCGTTCACTACCCAAAGGTGTCTCAGAGCGGTTTACAAGCTCCTTTCCCTTCCCCTCCCCACAACAGACACCCTGTGAGGTAGGTGGGGCTGAGAGAACCCCGCCCTTCACTACCCAAAGGAGTGGGGAATCAAACCCGGTTCTCCCATGCACTTAACCACTACACCAAACCCACTCTTCCACTTGCACCTGCTGGATGACTTTGGGCAAGCGATAGTTCCAATATGAGCTGTCCTTGAAAAAGAGCAGTTTCTGTCAGAGCTCTCTCAGCCCCAACGACCTCTCAGGATGTCAGTTGTTGGGAGGGGAAGGGAAAGGAGTTTGTAAGCCGCTCTGAGACTCCTTTGGGTAGTGAAGGGCGGGGTATAAATCCAATCTCTTCTTCTTCTTCTTCTTAACTAAGTATCAATGCGGTGCAGCAATGGATTTTTCCAACGGGCAGCAACTGCATTTCTTGCTGTAGAAAGTAAAATAGAGATTAGCTCATTACGCTCTTCATTTCCTACTGGGGGGTTTCGGTATTCCAATAAAAAAAAAACTTAAGAAAGGAAATTTAACTTTACACCTGTAATTAATGTCTTGGTGAACCTGTTTCCAAAAAGATGCAATGATTGGGCAAGACCACCATATGTGGAGGAAGTCACCCACCTGACCACATTCCCTGGTGCAACAAGGGGAATTTATCGAATTCATTCTGTGGAGTCGAGTCGGCAGTAAGTACCAGCACCTTAAAGAAAAAGTGTCTTAAATAAAAAATGTCTTAAATTCTCCAAGTTGGAAAAAAATGCACGTAAGTTCATGGAAGCAAGGATATCCCTATGGAATTTCCATAGATACATGACAGCGTGGAGAAGGAAGAAAAGTGGGAAACTCAGCAGAACTAAAGAGATAGGTTCTGTGAAGTGCTATTCCACGCATATTCGTCATTAGATGGGAAGAAATTTCCAGAAGATATGCCACACCAAATTGGCTCTACGCTAGCCAAGGGCTGGGTTATACTGGCCTGTGATATTAAACTCTCTTCCTCTCAATTATTTGACTAACACATATTGGAATGAGCCACCTTGATTATGACCTGTGATACGATGCCTAGAGAACCACATTCCTATACCGCTCGGTGATGGTGTCACTTGTTTATGTGCCTTTAATAAGCATGGTATATAAAAGGGTGTAAATGAAAGGACCAAGGCCAGAATTAGTCTTGATGAGGAAAGCCGACACCGTTGGAGGAAGAGTGTTCAACGCACCCAGGTGCACCAGGCAGAGACAAAGACGGGGAAAGACAAGGACGATCAATGTTGATTTCGATAACGGTATTCCTTCTGATTGTGCGGATTTGGAAATGGCTCCGGTCACGGAAGTCCTATCCCCCCGGACCTCTTCGGCTACCTATTGTGGGAGGCATGTGGCGGTTTGGGGTCATGCTGTCTAAAGATACTTTCCTTAAGGTATGTCTCCCTGAACAAGATTTGTTATTGTTTTCTTCCTATGGGGAAAATAGGTTGCTTCCAATGCTTCCTCTGAGGCGTGCAGTCTCGTGAGCCAAAATTCTACTTTGTGAGCTACTGGCATTAAAATTGTGAGCAGGAGACTTGGCTACTGCATAAATTAGTTTGCTCTGGAGCCCTCCTTCCTGAGCTAAGACAAAAAAAGTGTGATCTGGAGGCTAAAAAACTGAGCTAGCTCATGCTAACTCAGCTTAGAGGGAACACTGGTTGCTTCCTTTTCTTATTTCATTTTTTTTTTTAAAAAAAATTGGTGAATATTTTGTGTGTGTGTTTGTGTGTGTGTCTGTGCTTGGAAGCCTGGAAGTCGTGGTAACTTCTGGTGACCTCTAGTGGGGCTAGGACATTTCAGAGAGGTGGCTTGATAACCTGCCTCTGTGTCCCAGTCCTGGTATCCCTTGGAGGTCACTCTTCGAAGTACTTGTCAGGGTTGGCCCTGCTTAGCTTCTGAGATCTGACAAGATTTTGCTTGCCTCTGCTATCCATGTTAGGGCAATTTTCTTATTCCTTTGTTTTTTGTTAAAAAAAACAGAAAAAAGAGGAGGAAGAAGAAGAGATTGGATTTATACCCCGCCCTTCACTACCCAAAGGTGTCTCAGAGCGGCTTACAAACTCCTTTCCCTTCCCCTCCCCACAACAGACACCCTGTGAGGTAGGTGGGGCTGAGAGAGCTCTTGACAGAAACTGCTCTTTTTCAAGAACAGCTGTGCCAGAGTTATGGCTTGCCCAAGGTCGCACCAGCAGCTGCATGTGGAGGAATGGGGAATCAAACCTGGTCCTCCCAGATTAGAGTCCGCGCTCCTAACCACTACACCAAACTGGCTTTCAATGAGCATCCCGATGTTTCAGTGGAATGGAGAGGTTTGAAGCCATAGATCTGATAAGGTGATATCGGAAGCAACAAAGATGGAGTGAAACATACATTTGGCTGATCCAGTGACATTAGCCCCAGTGTGCTGGTTTTTGGGAATGGCCCTGAAGCATTGCTGTTTCCACCAGAGTCTGAGTCATCTGAATCTGTGCTCAAGCTAGGGACTAAATCCTACAGAAGACATCAAAGCAGCAGATGTGGAGGTTACTGTAAGACAGGGGTCATTTCCTGTGGGAGCGCACAGGAGCAGAGCTCCGGCAGTAAAGAGACCAGGGGGCGGGCACATGCAACAAGCCCCACCCCCTGCTCCCAGCAGCCCTCAGTCAGAGTAAGTTGCAAAGTTCCCCCTGGTCCCCTGGTCCAAAACAGTCCAGTGGCACCTTTAAGACCAAGTTTTTTTCACGCGTTTTCTGGCCCGTGTGGCCGGGGCCATAGATACGTTTGTGTGTGTGAATGAAACATATATGAATGAAACAGAATATAACAGTGATGGCAGATCGACACGTAAGTTTCTTATAAAGGTTTCCAGATATCTAAAAATGTCCATACACAATTCTCGTCTGTATGCCATATGTTCAAATACTGATAAAGTCTTAAGGGCCTCAATCCATTGATTTACAGGAGGCGAGCATTTCTCTCTCCAGTGCTGTAATACAAGTCTTTAAGAAAATAGGTTCCGTACTTGATATTCTTAATATAGTCAACTATGCGGTGATCTGCAGGTTCAGAGTTCGGGATCATTCTAGTGTTTTTCAAAGGGATTAGCCATCCCGATTCTTTTATCTCAAGGAGATGTTGACACATGCTCCAAAGGATTAGTTTCTTCCTCATTAGTTTCTATATCGTCAGCCCATAAATGCCCAAATCAAAGGAAAGAAAGACACCCACGGGACACCTACTGCAGGGAAGGGGTGATAAGTTGTTGGACTTTACCAAATGACCACTCAAAGAACATCAACTGTAGATAGGCAACCTGTTCTTCTCACAGTCTCTACATAGTCCAGCACAGGGGTAACTGGCAACTAATTGATTTGTTAATTACATAACTAATGGGGGCTGCTCTAGGAAAACAGGCTGTGAAGACCTACTATTCCAAAAGCAGAGGAGCGTAGTCAGGGGTCGTTTCGTAGAAAAAGAGCTAGGGGAACTCATTAGCATAACTCATTAGCATATGCCACACCCCCTGACATCACCGGAAGTCTGTTGCTCTCCAGCAGCAGACTTCCCTGTCATGAGGGGCCCGGCGGTGGACCTGCAAGGCCGGCGGGAGTGCAAGGAAGCCCCGCGAAGGCCCTCCCTGGCCCCAGGCAGGCAGGGGTGGGGAGAGGCAGGGAGGAAGCAACTTACCCTCCCTCTTCTCCTGCCTCCTCCTGGCTGAATGAGGGCCGGAAGCGGGGCGACCGGAAACATGAGGGGCCCGGCGGTGGACCTGCAAGGCCGGCGGGAGTGCAAGGAAGCCCCGCGAAGGCCCTCCCTGGCCCCAGGCAGGCAGGGGTGGGGAGAGGCAGGGAGGAAGCAACTTACCCTCCCTCTTCTCCTGCCTCCTCCTGGCTGAATGAGGGCC